AAAGTAGCAATATACCGAGGGTGCCTTTAAAAATCAAAAGATGTAATCATTTCGGTGAAAAAGGAAGAGACCAAAAACAATTGAATACGTCAATAAATCCTAATTTATGTCATATACCTACTAACATACAAATCTGTTTTTTTTTATCTGAAAAAATAAAAAAGTTTAAGGGGGTGAGCCACTTTTGAGACGACCCGGTATATTAAAAAATATTGTTTCATAATGTAATATCATTTTAAAATTCTTGTATGTTATTTTAGATTCTAAAGATAATTTTAGAATAAACCGGAATATATTTTTAATAAAAACATTATTAATTATTAACAGGGTTATAATTATGATTTTGTTACAATGTAAGTAAGTAAATAATGTAATGTTAGAGAAAAAATTCAGATTTTACATTTTACTAAAATATTATCTAAATAAGCGCCTTTCTACAACAACGCCACTGACTCCCAATGGGTAAATTGAGAGTTACCGGTCTACCGGTCGAAAATCGTTTCAAGACTTAAATGGATTATTTAAGTCAAATTTCTTGCAAATTTGGCACTGGCGAACCATATTTTATAGTTCTTGAACAGAAAATGTCAATAAAATAAACACTTAAGGACTACAAGCTAAGAAAAATGCGTTACTACAGCCGGGGACAATGCGGCAATAAAGCTTTACCGCACACGTGCGACGCGTACTACAAGGTAATAAATGAATGAATAGGCTCCCTCGCCTCTAATCGGTGTTGTCATATTGTAAAGAACTTATCCTTTTTAAACAGTATCCGACTTATAATTTAGTAGTATAAGGACTATTTAATACATCTATGGAATATTAAAACCTACTTTATTAAACTGTAGTATTAATATCTCAATATATGTGTATAACAAGAAAAAAAATATTGATAATATTAAAAACGTGACAACATAGGCTGGATGAGGAAGGCTCGGTCGACTGTACCCAGAAGTAAACATGTATACAAAAAAGATTGTTTGACCGCTTTGAGATGTAAATAGTGTAGTCTATATTTTATTTTAAGTCTATGTGTGTTACGGTTAAGGTCCGATATTCGGTTAATATCGACATTACCCGGGTAATCTCGAGAATAAAACAAAACAAAACAGCCAAAAACAAAACCAAACCCAAACATTAACCTGACATTAACCGGACATCGGACTTTAACCGTAACATATACAGATTGTTAACTGGATGGCTACTTATTGGGCAACTGAATGGCAACACTGCCTACATTCCAAATGAGTACTAAGCTAAACTACCGACTCGTCCCGTCGCGTCGTCTCTCGACGAGCGGGCCGAGGTTGCCATATTTCAACCATAAAGCTCTTGCCGCGAGTAATAAACAGATTAACAACCTGTATATTATATTTCAGAAATCTGCCCGAAGGCTTAGCCCGATCCTGTCGTGTTAAGCCACACCCAAAATTCCAAACTCACGTGCTTTGATTAAGGCTTGATTAATGTTTGCAGAGCTTCAGCATTTGTCATAAAATAGCGACCAATTTGTATTATATTTATGTAGTTTTACATAAATTATATATCACTGTAATCACAAAACTTCAATCTATTTCCGTATTGTAACGGAATTTTAAATTATATCTTTATTTTCGAGACAATTTAGTCCAAACATAAGGAATATTTTATTGATGTTTGACCATCAAAATCTTAAAAATAAAGAAGTTACCTAAAAATGTGCTACAATACGGATATAGTATAATCCTTTATCTTTAATTTCCTTCTTCATTTGTGTAAAAATACCTAGCCAGTTTTACATAAAACGTTAAATGCCGAACGCTTATTTTGCTACTTTTTTGGACTAAAGTAGTTAAAACGACTGAAATATAACTAAATTAATTTTTATTTATATGTCTGCAGTCCTCTATCCTCTATTTAAAATTTCGCAATGATTGTTTTACATTAAGAATAGACTTTAACCTCCCTAGTAATTTTTACTACATCTTTCTAAAAATAAAAGCTATAATTATTATTTATTGTTATATTTTAATGTTGTGGATCGTTTAGCACCGCAAGCATATTTTTAAGAATCGAACAAGGTCATAAGGTACGTAAATTCTTATATTTGTTTTGTGTGAATAAACTTTACATATAATTTACATATAAAGACATCGGTTAAATATGAATTTAGCATTATAAGTAATCTTTTATATGAAATACATAATGCTCACATAGCAAAATAAAAACACTAAATCACCACAATACACCAAAAACACTTTTACTTTTACACTGGACGCGCGTTTCGCTTACCATGTTAGCATCATCAGCAGATGATTATAAACTTCAGTTTATAATCATCTGCTGTATCTAGTAAAAATATTTTTAAATTGTAGCTCTAATAATCCTTCAACGAACCCAAAACTTACAATTTGTAAAAATCTAATCCTTTAGCTACAATACTCCGTGTCGTATGTGGTGAACAACCCTGTATACGTATAATAAAAATTATTGTAGTTTGTAGTTCTTACTTTCATTATGTTAGATGTTATTTTTTGTTGTTCTTCTGTTTGAGTCTTACCAAAGTTCACAGAATTCCATAGAATTATTCTGTAAAGTTTGATCTTACTATTGAAAAATTTTAAGATATGTATCTGTAAACTGCGACTATAGTGTGTAACAAATCAAGGAACATTTCGACAAACGACGTCAAGAAGATGACAGAAAATACGATATATCTGTGAATTATAATGACACAACAGTTATTATCACGCATCCTCCCATTGTACATATCAATTTAAAATAATATTGAAGTTAATAGGTAAACTTTTTTTTGACATACTATATACTATCCATTTGTTAAATAATAAATAACAATTAGAGATATCGTTATTAGTTTATTTATTGTACTAATCGTTGTGATTGAAGTATTTGAAATAAATATAAACTCAAAAAAGGCTTACAATATACATAACTAATTTTCTACGTCTGGACATGTAAAAAATATAGAAAATTATTTGGCGTAGAAAATTAATTTCCTACGTGTAGAAAATACGGTAGAAAATATAAGAAACCAAACCTACCCAACCCTGAACAAATATTGTTTCAAATAAAGACAGGTGTAAGTCATAAAAACGAATTTTCAAGGTTTTGAAGGCTTTTTTCCGAATATCTTCACTACAATTTGGAATTTTCCCAATTTATTAATTGTATTTGAGCAGCACCTGTCTAAGTATACGCAACAATTCCACAACTGCAAAGAATTTAAACTTTGTCACAACTTATCTGATATCAGCTGGTTACCTCCAAAAAATGTATTCACAGCTACTACCTGTTATTTTCAAAAAAAACTTTAGAAATGGAATAGTACCCTTCAATAAGATGCCGTATGAAAAAACAAATATTGTTTTGCTAGTTCGAGAACTTCATGTTTCACTCTCACTCTGATATCACTAGTTTATTTATATCTGAAAATATTTCCGTAATATGATTTCCTTTCAATCTATGAGGAGAAAGTCTCAAAGAAAGATTTTACTTGCATCTTAAAACACTCATTAGGTCATTGACTATTTACTTTATCAATAACTACTAATAACCAGTAGTAAAATAAGTGTATGAGATTTCTCTCCTTATCATAATAGCAAAAAATCAAGTACATTATTAATGCAAATATGTTTTTTTGTAACGATGCAATTAAGTGCATAAGATTTTTTTATAAACACAATCACTTATTCATAACTATTTTTATAACAATCGTAAAATTATTCTTTATTTAGTTTACAGTATACAACTAAAAGTAGTAGAAAAAGTATTCAAAGTATTAAATTTGTAGTAGTAGTAGTAGTATTCCGGAAACTTCGGCAACATATTCTGCAGATAAAAATAAGTAAAAAAGTTCGTATAAATGTATTCAAATGCTTAGTGTCCGAGATACAGGGTGTAGAAATTTTATTTTTATTTCGAGTTTTTCCGAATAATTTCTGAAGTAACGTCAATATTTAGATGAAAATTGGTGTCTGGGTGTTTTTTGACATGAGAAATTTGATTTTGATGTCATTATGACTTTTATTTGTAGAAGGCTCCACTTAGATGTGTTTTAACTGATTTAAAGAGTAATAACTTTTCGTCCGTACCTGTATAAAACTACTGAGTGATTTAATATTTTATTAATCATTATTAATTATTTTAATAATTAAAATATACATTTCCGTGATTTTATACGTAAAAAATGTCTCTTGGTAAAAATTGCTACGAGCAACCGTTCTGAAGATATTTGGAATGGTAGTGGTCAATACATGTCATTATTGACAAAAAATAAACATGTTGAGGAGATAGTTATTTGACTGAAATGATAAACTTGGGAACTTTTTATTTTTCTTTAAAACAATTATGATAAAACAGTTTCTGTTGAACTTTTGGCACAAACACATTTCAAATTTATGATATCAGTCTAATAACTATTTAGTCAACATGTTTAATTTATGTCAATGATGACAGGTATTGATAATTTTGATTCTAAATATCTAGAGAATCATTACTCGTAGCGATTTTTACGAAGATACTTTTTTTACGTAAAAAACGTGGTAAATTAATATTCTGTTACTCGGTAGTTTTATACAGGTACGGACGAAAAGTTTTGTTACTCTTCAAATAGTTAAAAAAAAAAAATATTCAGGTGGCGCCCTCTACAAGTAGGAGTCATATTGACATCAAAATCCAATTTCTCATGTCAAAAAACTCCCAGAAACCAATTTTAATCCAAATATTGACGTTACTTCAGAAATTATTTGGAAAAAATCGAAATAAAAATTAAACTTCTACACCCTGTATCTCGGAAACTAAGCATTTTAGGACATACATTTGTACGAACTTTTTTACTTATTTTTATCTGCAGAATATGCTGTCGAAGTTTCCGGAATACAGTTCGGACCACCCTGTATAACAAAGACAAAATAAAAACATGGAATATAACACGATTTTTAGATTTCCCTAGATTGAATTCAACGTGACTTTGATCACAATTTTTTTATTTGTTACAGGGCCCTTATCAAGTACATAAGATTATTGATCCAAGTGAAGAGGTACCACAGACAGAACGCCAGCTTTACGCAAATCTTTCAAAGCACGGTGAAGAAGAACCCAAACAAACCGGCCATCGTGTTCGAAGGCCAAGAATGGACGTTTGCACAAGTGAGTAAACCTAATTTAAATTCTTAAAAAACCTGATTAAATGACTTTACTAGACTAGAATATAAAGACAGTACATCCTTGTTAAATATTTTGTAAAAGAAGAGTCATTGAGAAGAAAAAAAAACACTTAAAAATACCAGATTTACTCTTTTTCTACTTTGTATTCTATTCTTGTTTATACATGTTGAGAATGTCAAGTAGAATCCTAAGATAGAGTGATATTTTTCTTAGACACGCCATAATATTATTCTTCAGAGGCTCGCGCCCTCTGTCAACTATTCAGTCAAATGCTGATAGGCGACGTCACAATTTTCTACGCGTCATTTCAAACCAGTGAAATTTGTATTGAATTTGATTTATTATTTATTCCTTAATTCTAACTTCGTTGCATTTATTTTTGTATTGAGGGAGTACTTTTTAATCACTTCAATCGAATTTTATATTAAAAATAACAAAACTTTACTACGATTAAACACCGGATTAGGACTATGTCATCAGCGAATCTTAAATGGTTAAGATATTCTCCATCTGTTTTTAAACCTTTGTGTGTTGGTCCAGTCCAGTTGACGGTTTAGGCCACCAGTTTTTTTGGTTTAGGTAGTTTTAACAAAATTAACAATTTTGTTCATTGTTTCAGGTGGAGGAATACAGCAACAAGATAGCCAATGTGTTCAAGAGCCACGGCTACAAAAAAGGCGACTGCGTAGCTCTGTTCTTGGAAAATAAACCAGAGTTCGTGTGCGCATGGTTGGGGCTCTCAAAAATCGGTGTAGTCACCGCGCTCATCAACACCAACCTAAGACTGACTTCCCTCGTACATTCCTTGACTATAGTCAAAAGCCAAGCGATCATATTTGGAGCCGAACTCTCGGATGGTAAGATAAATGTATAATCTGATTTATAAAAAAAATAATGATGCTCTTTATGAAAAATAACCATCCTGGCCACTTCATCTGCGTGGTCTGCGTCATCATTTTAATGCATGCGACAGAGATAAATATAAATAACCGGTTGAAGAACAGAGAGACCAAATAAAAAGCGGCATACAGTGTTGCCGGTTTTTACGTGTGTAGGAAAATGTGTAGAAAACATAAAATATTTTAAAAACTTTCATGTATTATACTGAAATGAAGATAATATATCTAAGCTAAATATAATCTATTAAAGCTGTAGTAAAATGGGTAAATAATTGTGAAAAATAAAGTTGCAATCCTAGATGCAACATTTTTCAGAAACGCCTTCTTGTGCCTATAAATTGATGATGATAATGATACCCTTAAAAATATTGTACCTAGTTTTTTATTAATGATGTGCTTTTAAATTAAATTGTGTACAAACCTTAAAAGTTTTCATTACTGTCTCTTGAGATTTAGTTAACCTCTCGAAAGTAAAGACTTTCCTACTGGCTATGCAATATACCACATGATCGAAAAAAATCGCCGTCACAGTGTCTTTGAAATGACGATCGATGACATTCGCCATATAATTTTATATGTATACATTCATGGACAAAATTATCGAATATTTTAAATTTTCCAAACTTTTTTCATGTTTTTGAATTTTTTCATTTTAATGAATAATATGCAACAAACAAGAAAGAACAATGTATTTTACACATTTTAAATAAGGAATATTAAATTATTATTGACAGTAAATCGTAAAAAAAATGATGTTAAATTTATGAAAATGAAGGATACTTAGATTCAACTTAAATGCATTTTATTTTTATTGTATTTGGAACTGGATTTCTTCGTCGTATGCGACGTTTTAGCTCATCCCACAAATGCTCAACGGGATTTAAGTCTGGGATATATGGTGGCTAATCTAATCTTTGAATCTGGACTACATCAAGATAATTAGTCACTATGCCAGCTGCATGTGTTCGAGCATTATCGTGCATAAATAGGAATCTGTCGTATCCAATGAGGCCATATGGCAAAACATGATCTTGGAGGATATTTTCAATATACCAGTCACTGGTCATTCGTCCAATAATTTCTATAAATTCGGTGCGCCCCTCCCAATGAATGCCTCCCCAAACCATTATACCGCCACCTCCAAAACTAACAGTCTGTATAAGGTTGCAGCTTCTGTATCGTTCCCCGACTCTTCTATAGACATGATTTCGCCCATCTGGCTTCCATAATTGTGTTCTACTCTCATCAGTGTATAGAACTTTTTTCCAGTCCTCGATATTCCACTGTGTTCTGGCAAATTGCAATCGACGAATTTTGTGATTTTGGAGAAGACGTGGAATTTTGGCAGGGCGTCTTGGCTTTAAACCCACTTCCTTTAATCTTCTTCTAACCGTTCTGGAACTAACATTAACTTGTCTTTTTAACATAACATTCTAACATTAACTTGTCTTTTAACATTTTTAGTAACTCATTTTTGAGGTATGCGGATGTCAATGTGCGATTTCGAGTAGAATCAAGTACCACAAAACGGTCATCAATTGCCGATGTACACCTTTTGCGTCCTTGGCCGCGTCATCGTACAAAATCTCCAGTCTTTTGATATCTTTTAAAAACATTTGATACTGTAGAGTGACCTCTTCTAAGACGCCGAGCGATTTCTGTTTGTCTATATCCTTCCTCATACAAAGTTACAATTTGTGCCACTTCAGCCTCACTGCAATACCTCACTGATGGCCATATTTCTTTTAAATAGAGAAAACAACAAATGAAGATTACTAACAAATTACTTAAATTCACTATAAATAACTTAATTCATTATAATTCTTGATTTATGTGTGTAAGTAACTTTTAAATCTCAAAGAGGGTTATAGAAAATATACGCCATTAAAATTAATTAGGTAAATGTCAAAATATTTTAAAACAAATGAATATAATCGCCTACTAGACGAATAACATTAGCAAATTTATAAATTTACAGCGATAATATAGAATCTTGTTCGAGTAATAGTGATAACAAAAATATTCGATAATTTTGTGCATGAGTGTATTAAACAATTTAATATTATTAATATAAATTAATAAATACGTTCATACCCAATTTTTGTTTGAAATAGATATACAGGGTGGTCCGAACTGTATTCCGGAAACTTTGCCAACATATTCTGCAGATAAAAATAAGTCAAAAAGTTCGTATAAATGTATGTCCTAAAATGCTTAGTTTCGGAGATACAGGGTGTAGCAGTTTTATTTTTATTTTGATTTTTTCCAAATAATTTATGAAGTAACGTCAATATTATGATGAAAATTGATGTCTGGGGGTTTTGTAACACGAGAAAATTGATTTTGAAGTCAAAATGACTCCTATTTGTAGTGGGCGCCACCTACATGTGTTTTAACTGTTTTGAAGAGTAATAACTTTTCGTCCGTACCTGTATAAAACTACTGACTGAAAAATATACATTTTCATGACTTGCTACGCAAAAAATGTCTCTTGGTAAAAATCGCTACGAGCAACCGTTCTCAAGATATTTAAAATGGAAATAGTCAATACATGTCATTATTGACAAAAAATAAGCACACGTTGAGTATAGTTATTTGAATGTAATAATAAATTTTTATTTTTTTTAATTAATCATAAATTTTTCTGCGAAAAAATTATGATTAAACAGGTTCTGTTGAACTTTTGGCACAAAAAGTTTCAAATTTATGATTTCAGTCTAATAACTATTTAGTCAACATATTTAATTTATGTCAATGATGACAGGTATTGATAATATTGATTCCAAATATCTCGAGAACCATTACTCGTAGCGATTTTTACCAAGAGACCTTTTTTATGTGAAAAAAGGCGTAAATGTATATTCTTTTACTTAGTAGTTTTATACAGATATGGACGAAAAGTTATTACTCTTCAAACCAGTTATAAAATAGGTGGCGCCCTCTACAACAGTTTGGACCACCCTGTATAATTAACTATAATTATAAAAGCCTGTTAAGAAAAAATTCGAAAGATAATAGCGAAAAGCGAAAAATTTAATCTTTTTTATTTTAAAAGAATATCCATACCGAGATCCATACCTTTTTTAATACGCCGATTTTGAGTGTAAAAGGTACTTAAGAAATACTAATTATACAGTAGGTACTTCCAATTAATATAAAAAAATTAATGAGTTTTTTTTTATTTTCGCGTTTAGAGTCTATTATTTTAATAAAACAGAGTATAGTAATTATCGATAATCAATAATTTTTTACCCATTAATTGAATAATAAAATACCATTACATAAATATAATATGTATATTAAAGTTTCTGTAAAATATTTTTTTTATTTAAATGTAATTGAGACTTAAAAATACTGGGATTGTTGTAATATCTACAATGGAAATTTAGTCTCTCTCTATCTTCTTTGCCAACAAATATTCGTAAAAAACTTTATTTACCATTTTTCGGGTATTTATTTCAGTGTATAAAATGAGAATATTTATTTTACAGCTGTCACTGAGGTATTGGACAAAATCGAATCCAAGGTGGCGTTGTACCAAATAAATTGCAACAACAACGCAGGCACTCAAGACGAACGATTCGAGAATCTGGATATTCTGCTTAAAGACGCTTCAACTACTCCTCCAGAAATTAAGGATAAGCTAGGGCAACATGAACACCTTGTATATATTTACACATCGGGAACCACGGGCTTACCGAAAGCGGCAGTTATTAGCACTTCAAGGTAGGAATTTGAAATTTGATTATTTTTTTATAAAGCTTTTTTTTAAAAAAAAATCTTGTCACCTTGTGATTTACATTTTATTATTTAATTTTATATACCGTGTGCGTCTTCAAAGTGGCTTCCCCTGTAACTTTTTTATATTTTCGGATAAAAAAACGAGATTTGGTATGTTAGTATATGACGTAAATTAAAATTGATTGACGTACCTATTCAATTGTTTTTAATCGCTTCCTGTTTCACCGGAAATGACTACAATTTTTGATTTTTAAATGGCACCCTCGGTATATTTCTACTTTATTCGATAGAAATTGACACCCTGAATAAAGTGATATACCATATGTCAACTTTTGACATTTTCGCTTAAAAGCAAGTCGTATTTTAAATTTCAATATAGAGTGTTATGGCTTTGTTTAGGAACACTAATTTTTAATCAAGGAGCCTTGGAAAAATAGTTTTGAGCGTCTAATGTTTTTCGTGTCTTGTCCTGGCTGGTTAATAGATCCCCAAATCGTATTTTTAATCATATCTCATTTTTTTTAATGGAACAAGGGTGGCTCGTTAGCATAATTTGGAAAAAAGATTTTTTTTACGAATAATTTGGTACCACACACTTAGTATTTCGAGTCAAATTGTCGTTATGAACCGCATGTTACAATTTCAAATAAACCATATGCGAAAATGTCAAAAGTTGACATATGATACGTCATCCTATTCAGTGTGCATCCATACCATCCTAGAAAAAGCGGAACGGCGCGGCGCGGCGTATCGGCGTAACGACCTAGAATAGGTTTCTAATCGTTCTAGGTTTTAAATCGTAAAATACCTAATTTTTGAACTAATTTCAACGATAAGAAGTCACTAAATAACCTATTAAAATTTTTTTTTGAACTTGGTTTAAGCCTGACCTCACCTTGAACCGAGTATGTACAATCGGGCCTTAATGGTACTCCTCCTCCTCCTCCGAGTTGTAGCACCGAATATTAATATAATATACAAGGTGGCCCATCGAAAACGTTCCGCAAGGCATAACGGCCAGGGTATTTTTTTTTTCAGAAAATCCAAAAACACGTCAATTTTGTTTGTGAGGGGGACAACTTTTGCCCCAAAAATGATTGCAAAATCTTCAACCCTCTAAGCGGGGGTGTCATCCCCCAACTTTTTTCAAATGGGAAGGGGGTCAAGAGGTAACGCAATGAAAAGGGCTTTTTATTCTCTATATTTCCCCGCTTCGTTTTTGAAAATCGGTCGAGTCATTGAGAAAATATGAAGGATTGAAATTTGAAAAGTTTATTTAAACATTTATCAGAGTAAATTATAAGGATAAATTCCTTCGACCAATTTGCTGTTTTTTCTTATTATTTCTAGATGTTTACGCATTTTTTCACTTGCCACAAGGTTGAACGATCAAGTGCGGTAGTTGCTAGATAGCTATTCTGTGACTTGTGCGTTGAAGTTCTTCTCAATATCGTTAAACTTTTTTACAATTATAGTGTACTCACTTGCAGAAAAAGTGAATATAATCGAACTTTATTTTGAAAAATAATGAATGTGGCAATCGGTTTGCGCAGATATTCAATGAACGCCATCCTGACAAACACCTTTATGGCAAAATTGTTCGCGATTTAGTAGCAAAATTTCACGAAACTGGTTCCGTTATGAATAAAAAGAGGCAGAGGGAAAATCCTGTTGTAAATGAAGCTATGGAGGTATTCGTATTGGGCCAGGTTGCCATGGATAGTACGCTGAGTACAAGAAAATTAGCCAATGAGACCGCGACCGGCGTGAATCGTACAAGTGTCCAAACGATATCAAAAAAAAACACAAGTTCCACCCGTACAAAATTCAGTCGGTACAAGAACTCAACAAAGACGATTTTGATCGTCGCGGGCTGGTATTTTTGGAAATTCTATTGTGGGTCAGTTTAACGATATTGAGACCGCACCTGATCGTTCAACCATGTGGCAAGTGAAAAAATGCGTAAACATCTAGAAATAAAAAAAAACAGCAAATTGGTCGAAGGAATTTATCCTTATCATTTACTCTGATAAATGTTTAAATAAACTTTTCAAATTTCAATCCTTCATATTTTCTCAATGACTGAATGAAAATATAGAGAATAGAAAGCTCTTTTCATTGCGGTGCCACTTGACCCCCCTTCCCATTTGAAAAAAGTTGGGGGATGACACTCCCGCTTAGAGGGTTGAAGATTTTGCAATCATTTTTGGGGCAAAAGTTGTCCCCCTCACAAACAAAATTGACGTGTTTTTGGATTTTCTGAAAAAAAAATTACCCTGGCCGTTATGCCTTGCGCAACGTTTTCGATGGGCCACCCTGTACGTGCATATATTAATATTTCGTAGTTCCAAAAAAAAACAATGGCATCGTGATTAAATAAAAATACGTAATATTAGTCGTAAAAATACTTCAAACTTATTTAAATTTATTCGAGATATTTAAATTCAAGGCATAAAAAAATGTTTAGCGATCCCGCATTCAGAATAAATTTTATATCGCAAATTGTACAAAAATTGGATATTTTACTTTCGATTTCATGCTAGTAAATTTTTTGGTAACACGCACATTTATTTACCATATAATCCAGTGAGGGCGAACCTATGACACGCGAGCTCATTTTTGGTGACACGCATCTTCAAAGATAAAATATTTCATAATTCAAATATTTCTCTCTCATAATGGCTAGAGTCAGATATTATTACTTACGTCAATAAAAAAAATCATTAATAACTTAATTCCGAAACCAGACGAACGAGATATTCTCGTTGGCGTAACCACAAGGGGGTTCGGGGGTGCCAGACCCACCCCATGTTCTGCTGGGCACCCTCCAGAGAAATCTTGAAATATGCATCTTGGCTAAATATTCATTTTTATTTGCTTGTGATGTAGTAAAAATTACGTTTTCTTGTTTTATTTAGTTAATATTATTTTGTTTTGTTCAAAAAATATGTTGAATTTTATTTTTACCCCTCTGGGCCAAACCATAGCCTAGTGCTAATTGTATAATTAATTTTTTCCTAGATTATTATATGTACATACTGTAATAAATGTACAGCTGTAATTGAGTAACTAATTGTGAAAAATTGAGTTCCAACCCTAGATGCAACATTTTTCGTAAACACCTACTTGTGCGGTTTGAAATTTTAATGCCAAATCCGGCAATATCGCATAGAAGAAATGTATCAACCCAACTTTTATCTCCTTCAGCATACATTTCATTATTCATTTAAGTTGTCTACACACGTTAAAATCCAGGCAGCTTCGATGACCAGATCGGTATACGTTTAACATGCAAAATACTCACTTTGTATATTTGGTTTTACTACTGATAATAATCGGATAAAATTCTTATTCTTTGAATTAGTTTGTTTCTGTCAGTGTATTATTTGTTTGTTTTTCTTATTATTTTTAATTATTTACAGATTCATCTTCATCGCTGCGGCAATTCACTGGTTGTGCGATTTCCAAACCTCAGACCGATTCTACTCTCCACTTCCGTTGTATCATACAGCTGGCGGTTGCATGACCATGGGGCAAATGTTAATCTATGGCTCAACTGTAGTGATAAGGAAGAAATTTTCAGCATCCTCGTATATAGCTGATTGTAGGAAATACAACTGCACAGTAAGTATACTAATAGTAAAATAGTTATCGCATATCTGAAAAAAGGGAATTATTACAAATTTCTAAATGAACCATGGATTTTTTTTGCCTTCCTCTTGCGGTATCCAAACCATTCATAAACATGTAGAGAATACAAAGTGTCTTGTTGATTGTTTTTTTAGGCAAATTACAGAACAAAAAAAACAAGTTCAATTATTGATAAATAATAATTGTTGCATTTTGTTCTCTAGATTGCTCAGTACATTGGAGAAATGTGTAGATATATTTTGGCGGCTCCTCCTAAAGCTAATGATGGTGATCACAACATAAGAATGATCTACGGTAACGGACTGAGGCCTCAAATTTGGACGGAATTTGTCGAAAGGTTTAATATTAAAAAAGTGTGTGAATTCTATGGAGCAACAGAAGGAAATGCCAATATCGGTAAGTACAGATGAAAAATCGTAGAATCGTAGAATTTTTTAAATAACTGAATATTATACAGGGTGTTTCAAAAAACATGTGCCATCTCTTGGGCTGATTCCTCATACAAAAATAAGATTTATTTTCATATCGACATAGGTCCGATTCTGCTTTGTTTCGTAGCTACGGGGTGTTACAAGTCTTAATTATATTTCGGTCTCAGAAACACGCCTTAGAAAAAAAAATTTTTTTTAGAAGTTAAAAACATAATTTCTTGATACTTAATATGGCAACATAGGTAGTAACTTAAATTTACATGAAAGAAAATCCAGAAAAGATCCAGTGGTTCTCTAAATTTTAGCAAAAAATTTTTTTTTTTGAAATTTTCAAAGTAAAATAACTCGGTTATTTTGGACTTATTTGAAAAACGATAAAGACAAAAAATGTTTCTATTGACTAGATCTACCACCCCTTAACTTGCACTTATTTCTGGGACACCCTGTATAATTTATTAATTTTTACTTTTATTTTAATTTTATTAATTGTGATTAATAAAATTGCGTTTATCTCATAAAGGAGGCCTTGTTTTTTATCTGAAAAAATTAAAATGTTATAGGAGTCAACCACTTTTGAGAAACACCCGGTAGACATAAATCGTCTCATATTGAAGTCTTGACAGTATCAAAAATCCATTCTTCTCTTTTCAGTGAACGTGGACAACACGGTGGGCTCCATCGGCTTCATCTCCCGCATCATCCCCCAGGTCTACCCCATCTCCATCATCCGCGTGGACGAGAACGGCGACCCGATCCGTGATGCTCGTGGCCTCTGCACCGAGTGCCGTCCCAACGAGCCGGGCGTCTTCATCGGCAAGATCCTGCCCAACAACCCTTCGAGGGCGTTCCTAGGCTACGTCGACGAGGAGGCTTCCAAGAAGAAGGTTATTAAGAACGTGTTCAGCGTGGGCGACAGCGCTTTCATCTCCGGGGATATTCTGATAGCGGATGAGTGGGGGAATTTGTTCTTCAAGGATCGGACGGGGGATACGTTCAGGTGGAAAGGGGAGAACGTTTCCACTTCTGAAGTAAGTTGGTATTATTATCTACGGTATTCGCAAAACATTTTCCGATGCACGTCATCAATCTTTTTTTCTTGTTTCTTCTTTTCATTAACGACATTGCTAACATAAACATCAGTGGTAAAATATGTCTTTTTGCGGACGACATTAGCTTCACTTGGAGCAACAAGGATGTCACTTTATAGGATTATATCAAATGACTTAATCACCACTAAATCTTGGTGCGATTCGAACCTCCTGAGTCTCAATATTTCTAAAACTAAAGCTTTGTGGTATAAAAACTCGCTGCAGCCTTGTGTACTTAACAACACCACCATTGACGTAAAATCTCTAAAATTCTTAGGGCTTGTTGTAGACACTTCTCTAAAATGGGACATGCATATCGACGCTTTGTCGAAAAAATTAAGCTCTGCCTGTTTTGCATTAAGATCTGTTTCTAAGAAGCTTCACTTGTCAGTGGCTAGAACTGTTTATTATGCACTTTTTGAGTCGCACCTCAGATATGCCCTTCCATTCTGGGGTACGTGTTGTGCGACTCAATTTGACCGCATTTTCAAGCTCCAGAAAAGAGCTGTTCGATATTGACTGGGACTTAACAGCAGAACTCATTGCCAGGATTTTTTTTAAAAAATTAAAAATATAACTCTTCCTTATTTGTATTTGAATCCGTTTGCATAATACGTAGGCATGTATCAGCTTCTCAAGAAAGGCCATCTCACACTTATCCACTCAGGAACGCGGAGCAAGATCTCTATCTACCTACCCCACGCTAAGAATTAGTTAAAAGTTCATTCCTGTATTGTTAAAAAATGTCTATATTATATCTATAGGATTCATCTCTCCAAAAAAATCTTTTATGGGTATTTCGCCACTGCACTGCAAGAAAATTTACAAAATAAAATAGTTATTTTTTGTAAACACTTCTGCGTTAAATCCATAGACAAAGAAATAAATTATTAATAAATATAATATAAAAATTAATGTTAAAATTAATTAATTAAAATTAAATATATTTAATACAGGGTGGCCCATCGAAAACGTTCCGCAAGGCATAACGGCCAGGGTAATTTTTTTTTCAGAAAATTCAAAAACACGTCAATTTTGTTTGTGATGAGGACAATTTTTGCCCCAAAGATGATTGCAAAATCTTCAACCCTCTAAGCGGGGGTGTTATCCCCCAATTTTTTTCAAAGGGGTAGGGGGGTCAAGTGGTACCGCATTGAAAAGGGCTTTCTATTCTCTATACTTTCCCGCTTCGTTTTTGAAAATCGGTCGAGCCATTGAGAAAATATGAAGGATTGAAATTTGAAAAGTTTATTTAAACATTTATCAGAGTAAATGATAAGGATAAATTCCTTCGACCAATTTGCTGTTTTTTCTGTTATGCCTTGCGGAACGTTTTCGATGGGCCACCCTGTATATTATAAATTATTTATTTGCCTATGGTTAAACCTAAACGGACACTGCTTGTCAGAAGTTATGTTTACAGTTATACAAATTTGCCCATAGAATTTGCCTAACAAAGAAAAAAAATGCTTAACGTTTCGGAAAGTTTATCACTAGCGGGAGGCGGGGACTAAAACGGATGCGGAAATAAAAGCAGTAAAATATGTACCGGGTCATTTAAATTTGCGAAACAGCGCCCTCCCACTACAGATGCTAATTTTCCAAAGAAGTTTGATCTGGCCAGAGATCCGGCAGGCCTAATTCCCATATGCGCTTGATCGTCTCGTAGTTGTCTCTGATTATATCAAGTTAAACTTCAAAATTAACAATTATTACCTGATAACAATTACTTAATAAGGTAAAACCAAAAAGCCTCAAACTTTCTGTATAATTATTTTTAATTTGTTTTTAATTTTTACGTGTGTTATGTTTTTATGTTATGTTCTTTAAAATAAAAAAAAGCGATTGACATACATTATTAACATCTACAGATGCATGTGCAATACATTTATTTTTATTAGATTGTATTAAAAAAGCCTCTTTAATTTTTCTTTTAGAGGCTATCCCTTCTTTCATTATAATTTTGGCGTTGTTAAAATCTATTCTGTGCCCTGTGTGCCATGAATGCTGACAAATCTTAGATTTGTGAAAATCTCCCTTTCTTCAATAATCTTTATGTTCTTTAATTCTAACATTTAAGGGTCTAGTTGTTTCACCAATGTAAAATTTATCGGCAGTCACATGGTATTTTGTATATTATATATATATGCGACAATTTTTTTCTATTACAATTTTTGTTAATAGAAATAAAAAAAATATTATACTATTCCAAACAAATATTTTAGTAAAATACAGAGTTTCAGTTTAAAAAAAAGTCAAATTTTATACTATATATTTTTGATATTTTTATATCTAATTACTTTAATCTGTTTCAGCTATTGTTATATTTTAATCTTATCTTATTCATATGAGCTAACTACTGTTGTAATCCTTATACTTATATAGTCAACAGAATTCCATAATAATTTATTAGTATTTTTATCAGTTCATTTAAACATTGGCTTAAGTAATATAAATTATAATGCGATTTTAAAAAAATTACTTAAGTACATCCACTTTTACTGAATTATTTAATGATTCAATCTATAATCGTTTAAATTTTATATTAGCATTGGATCTTTTTGAATCCACTTATAAAAGTTATGAATTTTTATGAATTCAACATGTGGAGATTTTTGTTTGGTTTGGTTTGGTTTAATATTTAATAGTATTTTTAAATTTGATTCAATATAGGGGGATAGGTATACCGGGTGCGTCTCAAAAGTGGCCCATCCTTATAACTTTATTTTTTTTTTCAGATAAAAAACGAGATTTGGTATGTTAGTTTTTGATTCTATTCAGAGTGTCATTTTCTATCGAATAAAGTAAAAAAATACCGAGGGGAAATACCGAATATCATTTAAAAATCAAAAATTGTAGTAATTTCCTGTGAAACAGGAAGTGGCCAAAAACAATAGAATACGCCAGTCAATCCTAATTTATGTCATATACTAACATCAGGAGCGAAGAAACAAACAGAAAAAACTATTTAAAATATCTAAATACAACTATTCAAAACCACTGCAGATACGCAAATTGTAGCAGATACGTTTATTCAAAACCGTTGATGTTCTGTTGAACAAAAGTTGAAACGGAAAAGAGGAATAACAAATGTTGAAAAAGCAATCACATTCTAAATTTTTTCGACTTTATTCTTCCACACCCTGTATATTATATTAACACAATAAATGTTTATATTTTACAGGTTGAGGCTGTGATTAGTAACATAGTAAACTACAAGGACGTCATCGTTTACGGTGTAGAAATAAGAGGCATGGAAGGCAGGGCAGGCATGGCAGCTCTCTACGACCCTGAAGAAGTGGTCAATTTAAACGGGGATTTAGTTGATGGACTCAAGAGGGCGCTACCGTCCTACGCCAGACCTATATTCATAAGGATACTAAAGAAATTAGATTTAACAGGTAAAAAACACTCGTTTATTCTATTTTTTTAACGAGTTTTTGGTCCAGTTATTGGAGTGTTTTCATTGATTTCTCCTGGTTCATACTCAGGGTAGGAGGATTTTCTTGGCCTGATTTGTTCAGCTTCTTTAGGCATTCTTTGACCAACTTTGAACCAATGGTTACTGAGTTGATTGCTCTTAAGGCTGCTTGACTATCAGATAAGAAGTAGTGATGGGCATTACGATTCAATTCTATTTCTCATATTGAATCGACTCCGTCGATTCGTTCATTTGAACGAACCACATACACATTTTACGTTTCATAAAAACAAGATTCGTAACTGGCACTACCGGCGATAATTTGGTCGGACAATTACTGAAGGGACCAGAAAAAGAAATATACAGTTCTTTCATTTGTTTTTCAACACTTTATAACACTGGCGTAATTGGATTGATTATTTTACCAATAATATTAAATTATCAATCCAATTCATATATACTATTTATTAAAGACTTCTTAATACCAATTTAATATTTTTAGAGCCATATTTTAATTCCGATTTAATAATCGTAGTAAATAGTATATAACACCGCATGATCGAAAAAAAATGGCGTTCAGTTGGCTTGGAAATAAACATAGATGACATTCCCCATATAATTTTACATATTAAAATGACAGCGATCTTCATTTTATAACCATGGCAGACGCCGTTTTTTATCATATTGAGCAGAGACCAACAATATTAATTTGGAGTTGCATAAAAACACGATTTCGTCTTTTAGTCCAACATTTAATGGTTTGTAGTCGGTAATATTACTTTAACAAAAATATTAACTTGAAAATTAAATACCTTACAGATACTCCCGTACTGAGTACAGTATAAATAAGTTTTTTCTTGTATATATCTTATCGTTTGCAATTTATGCCCATGATTTTTGTTTAGGGCTTTTGTTCAAGTCTAAATATTGGTGCCTGACTCTATGCCTATATCACCTCCGCGCCGTAGAAACGAGCGATCGCATTGTGATCTGATTCAATTCTCACGATTCTTTTTTACGGCTCATTAGGATCCGGATTATAACGGCTCGTTAGGATCCGTGCTGGCCACGATTCATTTGATACACTTTAAGTTGGAGTCTCATGCATCCAAAATCCGATGGTACGACATCCGAAATTTGAAGTTATCCTGTGAAATAAAAAAGGCCTGTCACATACATCCGAAAGTTTGTTCCGAAATTTGACACTTTTGACATTTTTCTGCTGTACTGAATAGAGATTCATGTCATGTTTTATTGGAGAAACACTTATAAAAATAACTTCCTCGCCAAATATCCCGAAATTGCCCACTTCCCCCTAAACTTGTTTTTAAAAATAAATGTTTTCAAAAAAAGTGAGGTTAAAAAACACACGATATCGTACAAAAGTTAAACAAAATTTAACTTTATACGACATCGGACGATTAGTTAAAATTATCGGATAAAAATTGGTGTCAAAATATTTCTACCAAAACACGATCTCGTCGTGATAGTCATCGGATTTCGGATCACTTTATTATATATATATATATATATATATATATATATATATATATATATATATATATATATATATACTATATATATATATATATATATATATATATATATATATATATATATATATATATATATATATATATATATATAACTTTATATACGATCGTCGGACGATTAGTTATAAATATATCGGATATATATATATATATAAATATTTATATATATATATACATATCGGATCGTCGTGTATATCGTCATATCGGATATTATTAGACTCCGGCTTTAGACGTATATAATGGATATAAACTTTAATTGCACCGAATTTTTAGTAAATAATAATTAAACATAAAATTTGAAAAACATCAGATTGATATCCCATCTCACATTATCCATCATCATTGTATTTATTTATGCTGTAAGTGTTTCTAAGTTTCTTTTATTTCCTTTTCCAACTCTATCATTAATTTTTAACAACAGTGGTTTTTCATACGTGTATTTCTAACAGTATTTATGACAATTTTTACAATAACTTAGCATTATAAATAGTACATTGCGGAAATTTTAATAATGGTGTTATTACTTTTAATGTAATCCAAAGATATTTTTGATAAAAATATATTTTTATTGTGAATTTTGAGAAACTCCTCATGGCTTTGCAAGACTTTGTTAAAAAATTATTCAAATAAAACTATATTAGTTATTTCATCTTTTGGAAACCCAAGACTGCCTTTAGTAAGGTTTTTTATAAGTGAATTTTGTTCAATATGAGTGTTGTCTGAAAATGTTAAATTATTTTTAGGGACATTAATGACTGAATCTTAAGTTTCTTTTCGTCTCCATATAAATGTCGAACACAAATACTGTACTGACTCCCGGCTAACTGTCTATATTTTCCAAACCTACTTTCAAGAGGATCAGTTTGCAAGTTCTCTAGTAAAACATACCTCATATATTACTCATTAAAACAATATTTTATTACTTCAAGCTCAACCTCTTACTCAATTCAAGTTAATAACTTTAATATTGAACACAGATAAAAGTTAGAAATTTTTTATTATTTTCATCGCATTTTAAAGAATTTAGTAAATAAGAAGCATGACTAATAATTTGATCAGTATTACTATCAGGGTTTGGAAAACTACATGTTACTCTTAAAACTACATAAAACTACATTACATGTATGTAGAGGGTGTAGTTTATGTAACTTTCAAATATGAAAGGTTTGAGGTGAGGTAAAAGATAAGTAAAAGCTTTAGAAAATACATATAAATATATTTGAGAAAACAGAAGAAATATAGCTTTAAATATAATATTCACATCTTATTATTTAGACATTATAAGGCATTATACCTTTTAAATTCTATAATTGCACACACTTATAATCACTTTATAGTTTATACACCTCTTTTTACAGATTTATAACTTTTTTCACCCTTCTATTATCGATGCGGCAATACCACTCCGCTACGCGCTACGACAGGCGCCGCCGCCGCGCCGTCTCCGTCGCCCCGGTCGAGGGGGCGTGAAATATCGATAAAATACATAACATATACTATAAAAAATATCTATTTTTTTTATTTTTTTTTTCTCATATTATACACTATTGTGAACTTAAAATATTCCTTTATTAAATTTGATTGATAAAAAGTGAGAGATAAACATTTATTGACTGGTATGATTTTTTCCGTATTCTATTAAAACTATTTTTATATACTATAATATTTTTAAAAACTCGGAAAAGACATTTTAAAACTTCGAAATATATCAGGCGAGTGAAAAAAGATCCACAATTTGAACTTTTATCGGGTAATTATCAACGCTGCTAAATAGAGTTGAGCCTCCAGTGGGCGACGTCACGAGATTTTTACGTCACAGCTGTCCGGCCTTGTTATTACGATGGTTACGGTTACACTCATCTATCGATAGCGTAGATTTCCGTATTTTCTTCTCTCTTTCTTTATTCAATGATTAACCCTTAATTATTTGCTTTTTTGTGTTATTTTCAGGTACATACAAGCTGAAGAAGAACGACCTTCAAAAGGAAGGCTTCGATCCGTCTAAAACTAGTGATAAAATTTACTACTTAACCTCGAACGGACAGTACGAACTAGTGACTAAAGACGTGTTCGATAAAATCAATTCTGGTGAAATTAGGGTTTAGTTTTTAGAGAATACGTTTTTTTATAGAGACTGAGAATGATAAAAACATGTTTTATACTCATTCCAAATAGTTCAAAAGTCTATTTTGATCGTTTTATTTATACTAAATAATATGCGATTTATTTATTATTAATCGACTATTTCCGGGAAATGATTCTTTTTATGACGAGATTTTAAAGTTGTAGACAAGCAAGTTTAATTTTGAAAATAATGAAATTAAAGTGCCTTTTCAAAGTTTTTTTGTTTAAGCATGCAACAGTGATATTTTAACTTTTTTAGGACATTTGATATATTTAATTGTAAATAAAAAAAATACTGTTGTTTAGGAGATTACAAATTAACTTTTTGTATGAAGGCTAGGTGTACCAGGTTGAGTCTAAAAATAAATGCTAATATTCCGAGAAAATATGTTTTATGAATTTTTAAAATGTTTTATAATTTTGAGTGAACGACATAATATCTTGATAATATGACAACATAGATCGTAGATTAAATTTAAGGGAACTTAAACATAGAAAAAAAAATCCATTGATTCTCACAGTTTAACCAAAAGATCGTTTTTTTTATTTTCACAGTAGAAAAACACGGTTTATTTGAAAAACGACAAAGGGGAAATATATTTCTTTTATCGAGATCTACCAGCTCTAAAAATATTTGCACTGACTTAAGACTCGCCCTGCACCTATGCTTGATAAGAAAAAATACTTTCATGCGAAAGAATTTGTCTATTTTCCTTCGTTGTTCTAAAACCGTAAAAATTGTTTTATGTGTAACTAGCTATAATTTATTTAAGTTAAACAGTTGTAAAGGTTTATTCAAGGTAGAAGTGAATAAGTGCGAAAAAAAATCTTGAGATTTGTCTATTAAAAGTAATGTGGTTTTTCCTGTAACATTTTTCGCGATTCGGTCATTTTCTATATGAGTATATTTCAGCTGTGGCGGATACAGAAGGAGGGACTAAGGGTCCCGGCCCCCCCCCCCTAAAATTTTTAAATTGGGTCGAATATTAGGCTTTTGGACTAAAATAAATTTATGTATCCGCCCCTGTATTTTAGAGTTTATTATATTTCATGTTTTAAAAGAAGTGTTTTAAACCATGTTTAAAACTTTATTTAAACACTATTTAATAAAAATATATCTCTAATACAAAAGGATTAAAAAACAAAACGATCACTTCAGTCAATCAACTCATTATAATAGAAAAATAGTATGTACCTAATTCAGATAACAATACAAACATGGTACTAAAACCTAACAACTCGGAGGAGTTGTAACACAGAATTTAGTCTATTAAGTTCACTAAAAATCCTATACAGGGTAATTATATTAATGACATGCTCATATTTAAGGGGGTGATTCTTGGACTTATTTTAAGAAAAAAACTTCATAAGACTGTATGTCCTAAACATCTTCACTTTTGAGATACAGGGTGGTAAAATTTTCTAAAAAAAGACTTTCATAATAACACTGTTGTTATTATACTGCCCTGCTGGCAAGCAAAACTTTGGGTCGGCGTTTACATGTATAGGAGTGAATCGCTATGGCAATCTAGTAAGCCGGAGAGAGCAAAAATAAAAAGTATTTATTACATAACGACTTAATTTGACGCTAGATTCCATGCGCATGGGAAAATACTTACCTTCTGTCTTTATTCAGTACATCTTATTTTACTAAGCGTGTTGACCGTACTCTTCGTACACACGAAAATCGGCACCCAGGGCCAGATATGCCGACCCTAGTAGATATCTTTATTTAAGACAAGTCAGTGACGTGCCATTTTTTTCTCCAAAAATATTCAATGTAAAACCGTATAGACGGTATAGACGCTACTGGCTGAAATAAAATTATACATCAAAAATGATATTTTGATGCATAGAAAACGTGTCTCAAGATTCATATAATAACATCAGAGTTATAATGAATATTTTTTTTTTAGAAAAATTTACCAAGCTGTATCTCAAAAATTGAGATGTTTAGGACATGCATTCATATGAAGTTTTTGTCTTAGACTGGGTCCACAAGAATTTTAGTATGTCATTAAAGAACACCCAGTATATGCAAGAAACTTTGTAGGTTAACGACAAATCGCAAAATCTCTTACTTCTTAAAAAGCAAACATCTTCACCACTGATTTTTTTTCGCACTTATTTATTTACACCCTGTATTTTTAAGAAATCTCGTTTATTTTAGATACTAATACTTTTTTTCCTGTTGTTTTTATACAGGGTGGTCCGAACTGTATTCCGGAAACTTCGGCAGCATATTCTGCAGATCAAAATATGTAAAAAAGTTTGTATAAATGTATATTTTAAAATGCTTAGTTTCGGAGATACAGGGTGTAGAAGTTTTATTTTTATTTCAATTTTTTTCAAATAATTTCTGAAGTAATTTCAATATTTGGATGAAAATTGGTGTCTGGGAGTTTTTGATGTTAATATGAGTCCTATTTGTAGGGGACGCCACTACATGTGTTTTAACTGTTTTTAAGAGTAGTAATAACTTTTCGTCCGTACCTGTATAAAAATACTGAGTGAAAAAATATACATTTCCGTGACTTCTTACGTAAAAAATGTCTCTTGGTAAAAATCGCTACGAGCAACCGTTCTCAAGATATTTAGAATGGAAATAGTCAATACATGTCATTATTGACAAAAAATAAACACGTTCAGTAGATAGTTATTTGACTGAAATAATAAATTTGTCAAATTTTTATTTTTTCAAATTAATCATAAATATTTCTGCGAAAAAATAATGATAAAACAGTTTCTTTTGAGCTTTTGTCACAAAGACATTTCAAATTTATGATTTCAGTCTAATAACTATTATTATTATTATAACATGTTTAATTTATGTCAATGATGACAGGTAGGTATTGATAATTTCGATTCCAAATATCTCGAGAACCATTACTCGTAGCGATTTTTACCAAGAGACCTTTTTTATGTAAAAAACGTCATAAATGTATATTTTTTTACTCAATAATTTTATAATGGTAGGTGGCGCCCTCTACAAGTAGGAGTTATATTGACATCAAAATCCAAATTTCTTATGTCAAAAAACTCTCAGACACCAATTTTGATTCAAATATTGACGTTACTTCATAAATTATTCGGAAAAATCGAAATAAAATTGAAACTTCTACACCCTTATCTCCGAAATTAAGCATTTTAGGACATACATTTATACGAACTTTTTTACTTCTTTTTATATGCAGAATATGCTGCCGATGTTTCCGGAATACAGTTCGGACCATCCTGTATACTTTTTACTATCATACAAAATACAACGTGATTAAAAAGTTTTATGGTATGGCCTGCTTTATATCGTGATAGAAACAATTCTTATTGGAAATCACATCAGTTTTTCAGGACAATTTTTTAACTGTCATAGTCATAACATACTTGATCATAAATCGTTTTCGTTGTTAAACCACCTAAATGTCATTATTTTACTCAATTTTGTATTGTTATTATCAGTTTCAATGTTGTTCTTTTTAAGATATTAAAAAAAATAATCTGATACAAATGAACTACTCTTGAATAAATGATATTTTTACACCGATTATATTTTTATTATAAAATCGATTTTTATACAACTTTTATCTTTTGTTATTTATTAATTGCAATGTTATTGATTGCAAATAACTGCAACCTTCTCGATTAATGTATAATATATAGTTATATGTTTTCTTATGTAGATTTAGACGATTTATTGTTAAGATAAGGTTTGGAGTTTTTTACTTTCATGTTTTGTATTGTATAATTTTAGACGTAGGTCATTTTTTATTGTACTGTGGTTATAGTTGCTATTTTTTGAGAATATTGTTAATAAAATGACTAAGAAAATTGAGGATTTTTGTTTCATTTTTTGTCAAAAATAAAAGACACCCTTTGGTTTATTTAGTAGACTAGCACAACAAAACGTCCAGTAATACCTAAGATATGCTTGAAGTAAAAATTCATATGATTCTTTATATCTGTGCTATAATATTTTTTGACTTCTGGTAAATGATTTTATATGGGTTGAGGAAATGTAATTGACCATGTGGTTTCTAAAACCAGAGAATATTTTCTTACATTCTACAGAGTTAAACATCACTATAATTCTAAAATCCCGCTAAATAATTATTTAACAACATTGAGATTGAAAATAAATTATAATAATGATTATTATTATTATAATTTATTTTCAGTCTCAATGTTGTCTAATTAGTACCACTGTATATGCTTAATTTGAACCAGTACGATTTAGTAGAGTAGCAGTTAGAGTAAGAATGTAAGTATAGAAAATTCTGCAAATGGATTTTGGAGGTGTAGCATTTCATAACAAGTCTAGAGTGCCACCCATCATGGATCACTGAGCGATCCCTTCCTAACAAATACCGGAGTGAGGAAGTGATGTGTCTTAACGCCTCTCCTATTCAACATAATCATTGCAGCGCTCTCTATTATAGTGGACAGCAAACTGCAGAAAAAAGGAATGGGCATTAGATACAAATACTACGGTGGTCTGTTCAACATAAAAAGACGCAGGGCAACAATACGTATAAATTTCATCACAGAACCTCAATACGCTGATGACTGCACTCTAGTTGCAAAAACGTTACAGCATACCTACTATATAGGCTTTGGACTTTAAGCTGAACATCGATAAAACTAAAATCATGTGTACTCACCCGGAAAATCATAACAATGCTATTAAAATCGGAGGAGAACTATTGGAATATATATAGTATGTAGCGGAATTCAATTACAACTTAACAAGTATAGCTAGAGACGTGAGAAATATAAAATAACACGGGCGACCGGTGCTATCCCCAAGTCTCTTCCTATATTTGTACATCTGTACCTCGGCAACTTGATTTCGAAAAAAGTCAATATCGACTCTAAAATTCAGCACAGAATTAGCAGCGCCTCAAGAGCATTCTGGAAATTAAAAGACAGGGTTTTCTAAAATCATGACTTGAGCACAAAAACAAAACTTGCAGTATACCGAGCAATAATAATCCCCATTATGTCATATGGAAGTGAAACCTGGGTACCGTACTCTCTCTCTCTCTCTCTCTCTCTGCACACGACCGCATTAAACAAATTGCAATAGAAACACCTTAGACAACTGTTAAGAATCAAATGGTGCCACCATGTTTCAAACGTATCGATCCTTGAAAAAGCTGTAGCGTCAAGAGCGCTGAAGGCATGATTACTAAATCCCGCTTAAGATGAGCTAGTCACGTATGTTGGATGCAAGAAAACCGCCTACCGAAATCTTTTCTTTACGGTGAGTTTGTGGGAGGTAAGAGGAAACCGGGTGGACAACTGAAAAGGTACAAGGATATTTTCCATGAAAACTTAAAGAGGATTAGCATGCAGAATCAGTGGGAGGAAGCAGCGCACAATAGACCGCAATGGACAAGAATTGTGAACTCAGTCAACAACAACCACCAAAAAAGTAAAGAGGCAACAAAGTAATGAGATTTTTGAATGTCCGGAGTGCGGAAGAGAGATAACATCACGTGTATCAGGCTTTTCAGTCACAGAAAAGCTCATGAAAGAAAATGCCTTCCGTAACCATCTTCTGATGCGCGTCAAATACTCGTCAGCGAGTAATGGCAGTAAGTCATTAGTAACTATTTAGCTGCAAAAGTGAAAACAATACTTCTTATGAAGCCGATTGGCCGACTATTTGATTGCATGTGTGCGCGGCTTCATAAGAATATATTGATTACAATACTTCAGCTAAATAGGTAGTCTAGCCTTATGTTATTTTGTGTTCGTGTCAATAAAGCATGTTTTGGGATTATGATTGGTTTTAATTTAGTTTCCACACATGGCCAAAATTATTGCATATAACGATATTTTTATTTTATTTTGGACCTAATATGATTCTTTTTATATTTTTGGACATATTGGCTTACTACACGAATAACTAATATAAAATCAAAAATCTAAGTGCAACTAGGCTGTTATTATAATTTTATTTCATAATGAGTGAAAATCAACAAAAACAAATTTCATTTTAAACAGAAAATATTGAAAACAATTTTAATTATTTCTCACAACTAATAGTCTGTATTACCTCCTCGAGCCTCAATACAAGCTGTGAGACGACGTGGCATGCTCTCAATTAAGTTGTCCAGAAGATGTTGAGGAATGGCTTCCCATGTTTCGCGCGCAGCAATTTTCAATTTATTTAAGGTACGGTGGGATCATTCCATTCCTTTTGGCAATATGGCGTTTTAGCATGTCCCAAACATGCTCGATCACATTTATATCTGGAGACATTGGTGGCTACCACAGTTTTCTTATAGCCTCTTCCTCACAAAATTCGCGAACCGCTAAAGTACGATGGGGAGGAGCATTATCGTCCATGTAAACAAATTCATCCCCCATTTCCCGGCCCCTCGAAATGGACGCACAATAGGCTCTAAAACGTCTCTAAGATACGAGGCACCTGTCATTGTGCCGTCAATAAAAACAAGAGGTATTCGAGCTCCGTGCATTATACCTGCCCATACCATAATGCTTCGCCCTTGAAACGGGACACGGGGTTGAGCTGCATTCAAGCGTGCTCGTCTTCCAGATGCTCTCCAAACCAAAGTTCGTCGCGAGTCTGACACTAGGGTTCCCAACTTGAGCACCGGCGATTCCGGGACAATTATTTTTAAGCTTTTAAATAATTGAAACAAAACATTAAATATTAGAAATTAAAATATATTATGTGTGTAGTACACACTTTTTTAATTTTTAAACATAAAACATAACATTAGGTCCCGGCCAAGGCAAAACTTTCGCCGGGACAAAACTTTCTGATTCCTGGTTAATCCCGGCCAAACCGTTGGGAACCCTATCTGACACTAGGCCTATTTTCTTGTTTCATCACTAAACATGACGAAATTCTAATTAGGTCCATTTGCTCTCATCTCCTCAGCCCATTGTAGTCGCGTAATTTTGTGATGTAAATAAAGCTTCGGAACACGTAGAACCCTCCTTAAATGTAATCCTCCGTCATGGAGTCTTCTTGCTATGGTCTTTCTTGAAAAATTTATTCTTTCAAGGCAGCTAACTCATTTTTAATAACAGTACTAAACAGGATTTACGTCGTGCAATTAGGGATGATTTGACGGTCTTGCGCAGCAGTAGTAACTCTATTAAACTGTGAAATAATGTTTCTAGGCATTTTAAGGCCAAAACAATGGTCAAATTTCTTCTGAAACCCAAGAGACCACAAATCGAAATGTGCAAGAATTTGTAATAATATTGGGTCTGAACGATAAACATTGTTTACCATATCCATTTTAACAAAAAAATGTTTATTACAGATTATCTGGATTATCAAAGCTATGTCTAAAAAAAGAGTCTAAATTCCTTTCCGCATATTTTTAAACGATATAATATGCAATAATTTTGGCCATGTGTGTATTCCCTCAAATGTGAAATAGGAAGAGAGTGGTGGGGTCGAATTTTTTTAGAGCGTCACCGTTTTTTTCTTGCTCCCGCTTCTTGTTACCCTCCCGGGGGATTTAGCTATAACAATATAGCAACCCTATTTAGGCTCATTTCCCCTATACCTATAAATATTTATTTTAAAACCTGCTACAACAAAAAATAATTAATTAAAAAAAAGAGAAATTTCCACCCTCACATAACGCAAAACCTCCCGAATCCGCGACTTTGTTCGACGTTCTATTTATTCCACCCTCACTCACTGTATACCCCCCACGGTCAGGGGTGGTTTTCCACGTACGCGAGTCTCGCGTTTCAGTTTTCAGTCTGTGTTTTCAGTCATTCAGCGGTCTGCGCCCGATCTAGGCACGTGCTATCGCTGAAAACGCTGAAAGCGAATCGTGTGAAAACGATCGGTGGAAAGTTATCTTTAAATCGGTAATAAACGTGAAAAAGTCGATTAAATGCCAGTGATTTTTCGAACTGTTTAAATTGAATCAATAATGTGATTAAGGGGTTGGGATTGCGTAATCTGGATTGATTTGATGTAAGTAGAAATTTACTAGTGTGTTTTTAAAAAAATTGGCGCATAATTTTGAATAAGAGTATAATATGGTTCATCAAATAAAAATTCAAAGTAGTTGGGTGCTTTTAAATTTGAAACCCATACCATTTTTCGATGTAATTTTGTTACTTTTTTTCTGTAATTCTGTTACTTTTTGGTGGTTAGTTTTCGAAAATGATATGCGGCAGGTATACAGTATGTCCACGGATTGTCTTTACAAGAAAAAAAATATTTTTATTATTGACATTTTGAGAAAAATGCATTCTTCGTAAGAAATTTTGATTTCTGTCCAAAAATCTCGTTTAGACTTCCAAATTTCCATACCGTTTTGAGAAAATTAAAAAAAAATATAAAAAATACGGCTGAATTTCTTGTAAAGTTTGATATTGGTGCATCCGTTATCCGATGATACGATATTAACTGTGATATTAATTTTATTAGTTGAATTTAAAGACTTCGATTGGTTAGAAAACTACGCAGTTAATTTAAAAAATGCATTTCAATGCCTCCGGTCATCGGATGTACGATTTGTTTGTGATTTGTAGTGTCATTTTATATTTTCATTTCCATAACGATTTCGCTGTTTTACTTATAGCCTAAGAGCTAGCAACGGTTTCGAGAGAGAATTTTAAAAAAGCAGGTTCTTTAATATATCCTTTGCTTTAATCTCCTGAACAGGGTGCGGATCGTCTGGTTGCCGGTAGACGTTGCGTTCATTACTGCGCATCATATCTGTATTCAACATCTCTTCACTACTGCGCATCATAAATTCGCCCTTGATTTCAGGAACTAAGCAGGTTAGGACAAACCTATCTGTAGCATATTTAGTTTCATAAAAAAAGTAGCAAAGTAATGTGAAAATCGCATTATTGTATTTTTACTCATAAACGAAGTTTCTTAAAATTCTTTACACAGCTTTCTTAAAATTCTCTCTCGAAAACGATGCTAGCTCTTAAACTATAAGTAAAACAGCAAAATCATTATGGAAATGGAAATATAAAATGACACCAATCACAAGCAAATCGTATATCCGATGAACGGAGACATGAAAATGCAATAAATTTAAAAACTGCGTAATTTTCTAACCAATCGAAGTCTTTAAATTCAATCAATAAAATTAATATCGTATCATCGTATCGTCGGACAACGGATCCTAAAAATCAAACCGCGTTTCTATGGTAATGCTATTTTTGATTTAATTCTTTGATAGATGGTTATATGGATGGTTATTATAAATTTTCATCAACGTCGCATTTTTTGCTTTTGTTAAAGCATCACATTTTCCAAAATCTATTTTCACTCTTTCAGTAACATTGAACTAAATAAATTTTGTGCTTCTTGAACATTTTAAGACATCAAACAATATGACGTTCATTAAAATTTTATTAATAAAAATCAATGAATGAAAACGAAATTATATTACCACAAAAACGCGTTTTGATTTTAGGACTTTCAAGGGAAAAATTCAACTGTATTTTCATGATTTTTTAATTTTCTCTAAACCCGTATGGAAATTTGGAAAAGTATAAACGGGGTTAACCATTTTAGGACAAGCAAAAACCTTTGTAAAGAATGCATTTTCCTCACAATATCAATAAAAAAAGTCATTCGTCTTGTAAAGACAGTCCGGGGATTCTTTTGTAGTTTTTGTATTAATTTATCAATAAAATTATAGTGTTATTGAAAGAGGACCAAGTGTGATTTACCGAATAAGATATAAATTAAAACTGTGATCATAGGTAATAGATTAAATTTCGAGAAAAAAAAAGAAAAAAACAGTGGTTTTCAAACTGATCAAATAGGCAAAAAAAATATTTTTTTAATTATAACTTACTTATTTGACTTATTTGAAAACCGACAAATAGAAAATATATTTCTTTTATTGAGATTTGCCAGCCCTGAAATAGTTGCCCTTATTTAAGATTCACCCTGTATACAGTTTGACCCCGTTTACCAAACAAGAAAACACGAAGTTTTTGTATGAATTTTTCAATAAATAGTATTATCAATAAAGAACAGGTGTGATTTACCGAATAAAGTAAAAAATAAAGATTCTAAAAAGAGGTTGAAATTTAATCTACTATACCTATGATGCCATATTATTGAGATATTATATGGTATTATAATTAACAATAATTGTTAATTATATAATATAATATAATATGTCATAATATAATAAAAATGTTTAATTATTAAACATTTTTCAAAAATATACTTGGTGCGTCTCAAAAGTGACTCACTCCTATAACTTTTTATTTCTTCAGATAAAAAAACAAGATTAGGTATGTTAGTATATGACAGGGGCGGATACAGGAATTTATTTTAGGGGGGACCCAAAATGAAAAGCAATGTAGAATATGCTTTTTAGGGCGCCATTTTTAACTCAAAAGCCTAATATTTTACACAATTCACAGTTTTTAGGTTTGGCCCGGGCCCCATGGGCCCTCCCCCTGTATCCGCCATTGGTATATGACATAAATTAGGATTGATTGACGTATTCAATTATTGTTTTCAGTCACTTCCTGTTTCACCGGAAATGACTACAAATTTTAATTTTTAAATGGCACCCTGGTATTTTTTTACTTTATTCGATAGAAAATGACAGTTTATCTATGAACCATCTTCGTTCCATTTGAAAAAATTGAGATATAATTAAAAATACGATTTGGGCATCTTTTAAGGGCCAGGACAAGACACTAAAAACATTAGAGCATCAAACCTATTTTTCCAAGGCTACTGCTTGATTAAAAATTAGTGTTTTCAGCAAGGCACTCTAGATTGAAATTTAAAATATGATTTTTTTAAGCGACAATGTCAAAATTTGACATATGATATGTCATTCTATTCAGAATGTCATTTTCTATCGAATAAAGTAAAAAATAATTCCCATTTAAAAATCAAAACTTGTAGTTATTTCCGGTGAAACAGACAGTGGCCGAAAAGAATTGAATACGTCAAACAATCTTAATTTATGTCATATACTAACATACTAAATCTAGTTTTTTATCTGAAAAAATAAAAAAGTTATAGTGGTGAGCCACTTTTGAGACGCCCCCGGTATAGTTGCAATAAAAAAAAATATGCAATAGTTTCAAATTCGCCCCGTATTTCAGAAAATAAGAAGGCTAGGACAAATCTGTGTGTATTATATTTAATTTAGATTCATTAAAAAGTACTAATAGTTACTGATAAACGTTCAAGGCATCCCTATAAAACACACGAAAATGGGACACCCTATACATCAAAAGTTAATATATTATTCCTAGCATTGAAAAATCTTCGTTTTTCCTAATCAGAAATTTATCGATCGATTTATCCCACAATTTATTTGCCGGATCAGGCAGTTTGCAGTGTGCAAACTGCGAAAGACGAACTTCGTGCCCCATATTGCAATATTCCCGAGCAGGGGGAATTAAAATCCAGAGTGATTCATAATAAACGGGGGAAGTGGACCTTTAGGGTAGTTGATTAAGTAGTTCATGACAAAAGCCGCATTCGAGGGCAGCGTGTTATACTTCGTTTTGCAGATTTCAGCAAATAGTCTCCGCAAACAGGATAAGGGACTATATTATTTTCCAAATACGGTCTTTTGTATTTCTAAATACTTCAGAATAACAAAGTAAAGTACCGTATGATCGAAAAAACGCCGTCAAAGACGGCTGTGGAGTGACAATTGACAATCCTCCAATGACGGTCCAGTTAGTGGAGTGTTCGCTCCGTTTCTAGCTAGATTGTTTATTTTTTCATTACCTTCTATCCCTTGGTGGTAGGGTCTTTGTGCTTAGGCGTAAAAGTGCCTTACTTTTATGCACTATAATTATTACTTTTTAGGTTGTCAATCACGTAACAAAAGTATTAATTTTTGTGACGTTTGAAAAAAAAACTTACGAAATAAAACAATGAATTTACACTGCTGAATTTATCAACGATTTTTTAAGTAACTAAATTTATTAAAACTAATATATTATTTTGTATTATTGGCATTTCTTAATGGAACATTAACATCCGGATGGTTATGAAAAATCCGCCCAAACTCAACCGGACGTAATGAAAATCCGGACGTCTGGCAACCCTACTTTGTCGGCTACTTGGGGTTTCTCCATTTTCCCTATAGAATCTGCGTTCGCCGTTGTTTCTTACCTTCAATCTACTGAAGTGTACTCGGTGTGTACTGAGGTGTGCATTGAGGACACAGTGTCCTGTTAAAAAACCCTTGACTATATGCCAATCCGAAGATTGTTCTTCTGAGAAATTTCTTCGAGTGTCGGATGGAGTCTTCCGTGTTCTTACTTCTTCCTCTTTAAGTTGGTTTCCACTTGTGTAGCAGAACGACGGTCCTGGTCCAGTTAATGGAGTGTTTGCTCCTTTTCTAGCTAGATCATTTGCGTTTTCACTACCTTCTATCCCTTGGTGGGTTGGCATCTAAAGTAGGAGGACTATTTTCTTTGCCTGATTCATTCAGCTTCTTTAGAATTTCTTTGGCCAACTTCGAATTGATGGTTACTGAGTTGATCGCTTTTAAGGCTGCTTGACTATCGGATAAGATGACTATTTCTTGTTTCCGATAGTTCCTATCTAAGATAAGTTGTACGCATCTTTCAAGAGCGTAGATTTCTGCCTGAAAGAAGCTGGGGTAGGTACTCATTGGTTCGGAGTATTCAGTTTTCGGCCCAAATACCCCTGTTTGGTTTTGGAAGCACCAGGATACCATGCATGCTGTAGTAAATCCATATTATGCAGTACAAACGACAGTTCAGTTGTATACAGTAAGAGCAATCTCTAAACAAACAATTTTACACGGATGCTATGAAAAAATTATTTTAACATTTAGTATTTTGTACATAAAAGTTTCTAGGATATGCAAACCCGAATTTCATGATATGAGGCGTCAAGATATGCAAAACAAGGCGAGTTTTGCATATCTTGACACCATTTTTTTCCATTTAAAAAAATTCCTAATGACATATATTAATAGTGGATCATAAAATCTACAAAAATATAGTCCCAAACTGCACCTCATATCTTATTGATTAACGGGGAATAGGGTGAGCCAAAAAACTAACTTATCGAATTTATGGGTTAAAATGAACCAATTTTAAAAAATGTCAGTGAATATTCAAAGATTTTCATTTAAATAACACGTAAAAAAATATTTTTTCGTTAAAAGTACCATAACTTTGAAAGGGTTCACGATAAAAAAAATTTACATCGCGGATTCTTGTAGAGCATAACGTTTACTAAAAAATCTGTCTGAGAGTAACTTTCTTCAATTCAATTCAATAATACGTATATTTGAAAGCTTTGAAAAGTGAAAAAAATCACTAAATAAACACTAAAACTGCATTTTTTAATTTTCAAAGCTTTCAATATTCAAATTATTGAACTGAAAAAATTACTCTCATTTTTTAGTAAATTTTATGCTCTACAAGAATCCGCGATGTAAAATTTTTTATCCTGAACCTGTTATTTAAATGGAAAGTTTTGAATATTCACCGACACCTTTTAAAATCGAGCTAAAAATCCTGCCTTCCGGGGATATTTTTTTCCCGGTTATTAGGTTCATTTTAACCCATAAATTCTATAGCTTAGTTTTTTTGGCTCACCCTAATGGGGAAGTTATTCATAGATACTGTGCTTAACTAGATTATTTTTTTTTCTTTAAAAACTATTAATTGATTTACAATAAAAACACATAAATGAGGAACTTTCCTATTTTTTCTATTAACTAAATACCAATTTTTCAAAACGCACGCACTTATAAACAAGCAATCGAATATAAGTAATTTATTACATTTCCCAACCGCTTCCTAAGAATATTTTCCACCTTTAATATTTCGAAAACTTAACAAAAAACATTTTGTTTCAGATCTCTTCTCGATCCCATAGACGTAGCAATGAAATCGAACGTTTGGAGATGAAATTACTGTGAAAATAAATAAGCGAACATTTTCCGCAACAAGCGTAAACCATCCGAAGGAAAAACAATTTAAATGGTATTTATAGGCGATCGCGACCCAGGCGAAACAATCAGTGATGTTCGTGAAAAAACGAAGTAGAAGGAAAAAAACGAGGGAAAAGCTCAATAATTGGACGGTTGTTCCGGTGAGGAAATGATTGCCGGGGTCTTGGTCACGCTCGTTGTGTACGTACAGAATGTCGTTTCAGGATACATTGGTAAGTGAAACCCTTAAAACAATTTGTAAGAAACTGTCAAAAATACTGCAGACAGAACTGCAAGCTTATAGAAAACTTAGTTTTTTTTATTTAAATCATTTTAAGAGTCTATTACGCTTAGGGTCGCTCTCAGGGGTCGAGTAAATCGGGTGTGTGGCCTAGACCTGTTCGGTGTTGAGATTTGAACACCGGTGTTAAATGTTGATGACCACCGGTGATTATGGTGGTGTACCGGTGTCAACACCGCCACCGGTGTTTATCTCAAAACCGGTGTTCATTGCAGCAGCGGTGTTTATCTCAACATCGGTGTTTATCTCGACACCGGTGTTTATCTGAACACCGGTATTGATGAACACCGGTGTCGAGATCAACACCGGTCTCGGTGTCGATGTCGATGGTGCCGTTTGTTTGTTTTTTTTTAGTTTTTTTAATGTAATATTTTTTAGTTTATTTTATAGCTACGAATTTTTGCTTCTTTATGTTTTGTTTTGTTTTCTGTTGTGTTTTTGATTAAACAAGTTTTTACTTCATAGTTGTTTATCTGTCATATTATCATCTGTCATATTATCATCAGTCATATTGTCAATATGACTGATGCTTCCACTTTATTTTAGTGATTGGTCTGGCAAAAAGTATATTTAAATTTGAAAGCTTTAAGTTAAAGTCTGTGCGCTTTAATAAACGATAAAAATAAGCACCGATACGACATTATTATTATCAGGGTTTATTTTGAACTTATTAATTAACATGATTTCTTCTTTAACCCGTTTACCAAACACCGGTAGTCAAAACCGGTATCGAGATGAACACCGGTGTCGGTATCAACAGCGATATCGGTATCAACACCGGTGTCGGGGCCAACATCGGTGTCGGTGTCAACACCGGAACACCGGATAGTCCATATTTCGTCACCATATTTCGTCACTGGTGTTCCGGTGTTTGTTTGGAACAGGCCTAGTGTGGCCGTAGGAAATATACAGGGTGGTCCGAACTGTATTCCGGAAACTTCGGCAGCATATTCTGCAGATAAAAATAAGCAAAAAAGTTCGTATAAATGTATGTCCTAAAATGCTTAGTTTTCGAGATACAGGGTGTAGAAGTTTCATTTTTATTTCGATTTTTTCCAAATAATTTCTGAAGTAACGTCAATATTTGGATGAAAATTGGTGTCTAGGAGTTTTTTGACATGAGAAGTTTGATTTTGATGTCAATATGACTCCTATTAGTAGAGGGCGCCACCTACATATTTTTTGACTGGTTTGAAGAGTAATAACTTTTTGTCCGTACCTGTATAAAACTACTGAGTAAAAAATATACATTCGCGACGTTTTTTACGTGAAAAAGGTCTCTTGGTAAAAATCGCTACGAGTAATGGTTTTCGAGATATTTGGAATCGAAATTATCAATACCTGTCATCAATGACATAAATTAAACATGCTGACTAAATATAGTTATTAGACAGAAATCATAAATTTGAAATGCTTTGGGCCAAAAGTTCAACAGAAACTGTTTTACCATCGTTTTTTGCAGAAAAATTTATGATTAATTTAAAAAAATTAAAATTTCCCAAAATTATTATTTCAGCGAAATAACTATCTACTCAACGTGTTTATTTTTCGTCAATAATGACATGTATTGACTAATTCCATTCTAAATAACTTAAGAACGGTTGCTAGTAGCGATTTTTACAAAGAGATATTTTTTACGTAAAAAGACACAGAGATGTATATTCTTTCACTCGGTAGTTTTATACAAGTACGGACAAAAAGTTATAACGCTTCAAAACAGTTAAAACACATGTAGCTGGCGCCCTCTACTAGTAGGAGTCATATTGACATCAAAATCAAATTTCTCATGTCAAAAAACTCCCAGACCCCAATTTTCATCCAAATATTGACGTGATTTCAGAAATTATTTAGAAAAAATCGAAATAAAAATGAAACTTCTACACCCTGTATCTCTGAAAGTAAGAATTTTGGGACATACATTTATACGAACTTTTTTACTTATTTTTATCTGCGGAATATGCTGCTGAAGTTTCCGGAATACAGTTCGGACCACCCTGTATATTATACTCAGGGTTGCCACAAGAAAATTTTTGATTGTGCAGAACTTGATAAAAATATGTAGCATTGTGTAGCCATCCATGACCAATAGGCAGCCCCGGATCTACAAATTTTTTGAACCAGGGCAAAAAATTGATAGTAGCGCCCCACCTCACCAGCGCCAGCGTTTGAAATAAATTAATTTAAAAAACTTACAAATATCTCAATATACAGTTCATATCAAATAAACTTATAGTCACGTGATTAATCTTGACCGGCACAGAGTTGTCCACATTTATATATTTTCTTTTAATCAAAATATTTTAGGTAACAAAAATAAATTAATTATAAATATATAAACAGTTATTATTTACATCAACAGAACCCACCTTCATAACAGCACTTAAGGGACATAAAGGGCCATTACTCCTGCTTTCGCATAATAAATTTGCGATGAGTTTGTTACAGCTATTAAGCTATCTTGTACACTTCGCACTACAAGAGGTTCTAAAAAGAACAATGTTCGACTGCAAAGTCTGCTAGTAAACATTTTCGAGCTTAAAGTATCAAAACATTATTTATTTAACCCAAAAACTCGTAATACAAAACTAAAGTGTTAAAACGAATGACAATGTCAGGAAATAAATAAATAAATGCGGCAACTTGACTTTTTTTACAGCAGAGCTACCACCTGAATCCCCAGCGCGAAGGTTAAATTCTAGTTAGTCAGCACGGCGTCGAATATGTCCATGGTTGGCAACAATGAATTTAAAAATCGCGCCCTCGATTACGTAACTAAAAAAGGCTAAAAGTTTAATTGAAATGAAATATAGATAGGCATTTTTCGTAAACGGAGTTTAGACTAACTGGACGTTTTAAAATTAAATGAATACTTGACAGAAGAACGTAAGGTGCATACTAGGCGCTTTGTGGAGCAATTTTTTGATTTTCAACCATATTATATTATCATTTCGGCGCCCCCTGATACTGGCGCCCGGGGCAGGCGCCCCGGTTTGCCCCCCCTTAGATCCGGGGCTGCCAATAGGGTGAGCCAAAACAAAAAAAAAACTATAGAATTTATGGGTTAAAATAAATCTAATAACCCAAAAAAATATCCCCGGAAGGCAGGATTTTTAGCTTACTTTTAAAAGGTGTCGGTGAACATTAAGTTTCTCATTTACCCATTTAAATAACTTAAAAAAATCTTTTTTCATTAAAAGTAGGTACCATAACTTTGAAACGGCTATTTGAAAAAGTATATTGTATTATAAATTCTAATTGAACCATGAAGTGCTAAATAAAAACAATACCTACTTTTTATTAGATAATTTATTAGGAAAGACAATATGAAGTCCTCATTCTAAAATAGACTTGTTTTCTTTTTTATCGGTCTAAATGAGATCTCATTTAACGAGTATTTATAAACTGGAATCCCAAGACAGCGATAACTAAACTCATAACTTAATGGATACCGAAAACACTGGAGAAGAAGAATATTTTTAATTTAGAAAGTGTTAAATAACCAAGATAAAGAGCGGACGATATTTTAAAACACAAAGCTTTCAAAGAAAATACTTTAACGGTTATGTCACAAAAGAAAATTAGATATTACCGACATGTGACGAAATGTAAATGAGTTACAATGAGTTACGTTAGGTATTTATGTATAGGAAAGTCATGCAATGGTTTATCGCGGAAGTAAATATTTTATTACGTATTGTTTATAAGAAAATGCCCGTTTCTACGAAAAACTTGAAGAGATAGGTAAAAATGGTATATAATACAATTTCATAGACAATTACATTGTGCAATACGATTCATGCAAAATATATAGTGTGTTCAATTAAAATTAAACACGCTATTGCCGTTTAAAGCTAGTAATTATTAATATACATTTTTGGACACTCTGTATAAGGTAGTAAATTTTTATTATTGCAACACAATATCTGGTCAATAATTAATCTTCAGTAAATATTTAGTAAAAACTTTGATACCCTTGGAGAAATGAAGCCTTAAATTTTTACTGTACTTCATAAAATTGAAAATATTTCAAAAACGTATGGTTTAAGTATGATGAACCTTAATCACTCCCCATCTTTATTTTAATCGTGAATCTAAAATAGAATAATAAGGCCAGGAGTTCCATTTAAAAAATACAACTATAATATTTTTTACTTAGTTGGGACACTCAGTATCTTGTAAAAATATTTTTAAATTGTAGCTCTAATAATCCTTCAACGAACCCAAAACTTACAATTTGTAAAAATCTAATCGTTTAGCTACAATACTCCGTGTCGTATGTGGTGAACAACCCTGTATACTCTATTATTGGTTGGGGACAACACCGCAATGAAAAAAGGTTCTCTCAGTCGAAATGAATATGACTTTGACCCAAAAGATTGGTGCTTTTGAATAGGGCCAAGAACGACGTTTCTTTACCCAAAGCATTAACTATCTTTTCATAAGCTTTAAAAAATTACTTTAGAGAATAGAAGAATCTATCTGTTCAAAGTATTTCACTCCTGACCCAAAATGAATATGCAAAAGAAGTTCTTGCTACAAGAACAAAAGTCTCTTTGATTCATGCAAAAATTCTTGATTGAAAAGGGACATTTCTTGATTAAAGAGACAGAGACTTTTCTTAAACCAATAGCGAATACCATTGACTCAACTAAAATTTATTTTGATCTAGGAGAAGTCTATACATCATATACAGGCATATTACTAGTGATGGGAGTACTCGAGCGAATTTTCGCTAGAGTACTCGATTATTGAAATAACCAACATCGCTCGATTATGAACGAGCGATGCAAGTGACGACGTGACGAGTACCAAGCGACGAACGCAAGCGATCCTAGAATGAAATAAATTGAAATTCGAAATTCGATTTTCGATTCGACTGATTGTATATTGTACATACTGTCCTTCGTCATCGTCTTTGCGTGTCGTTATTAT